TATATTTAAAAAAAAGAAAAGAAAAATTATCCAAATGCATAGAGAACAAAGCTTATAGATAGTTACCAGAAGCGGGTTGTTGTTTTGATTAAGTACCGTGGAGTCAGTTTCAACTCATGATGACCTAGTATTGCATTTTCAAGGAGCAGCTAGTGTGTTTGAACCACCAACCCTGTGATTAGCAGTCCGGTGCGTATCCTACAGCACCACACCAGGACTTTACCAGGGGTGGGAGGAAGAAGGAAAGGGGTGGGGCTGATGGTAATTAAAGATAAGATTGCATAGCAAATTATTATATCTGCTGTCAATAAGTTGTACACCTATAAAAAGTTGAATTGACAAAAAATATGTGATAGATATGTTCATAACAATGACAAATAAAAAGTAGCTGCTAAACCTGCTTATAAATGGACTGAGTGACTAATTGCTTGTATGTGCAATTGCCTCCTTTGCCATGAGACCAGAAGAATTGTATGGTGCCCAGCTACCATTACTAAACGTTTTGATCAAAGATATCGTTAAAGAATCCTGATCAAAAGGGGAGAAATGCAGAACAGAATTTCAAATTATCATGGACTCCAGACTTCCTGGAGTCATGGAGTTGGATGAACTCCTAGAACTATTATCTTGAGACAGTCTTTAAACCCTTAAACCAAAAATATCCTCTTTAGTCTTTATAAAATCAAACAATAGTTTAGTATAACCATCCAATATGTTTACCTTGAACATGGTGCTCTTTTAAGAACTATATGAGATCTAAGTGACAACAGAGACTCAAAAGATCAGCTAGGTGCCTTGGGGGGAAGTCAATTTGTATTAATTGGAGAATACTGATATTGACAGCCCCCACCTGGCACAAGAATTCTCAGGAATAATTATGAGAGAGTTGCCCAGTCTCTCTTTGAACATCTCAAGAAAGTCTTTGTCTCAAGGAAACCTTTTTAAAATCTTTATTTCTTAAAACTTTTCTTTGACATTCTTTCAAACCTAAATAAATTAAAATGATAATACAAGAGCTACCTCTATCCTTCTGTTTTTTTCCCCCAGTTGTTAACATTTCACCTCATGTGTTCTTTCAATATTTATTGATGTTGTTGGGTGCCATCTGAGTAACTTCCAACTCACAGTGACCTTACTACAGCTGATCACAAGGTCTGTGTTGAGCCTCAAGGTTGGTGGTTGAAATCCACCTGCTGCTCCTTGGAAACCCTATACAGGGTTGCCATGAGTGAGAATCAACTCAATGGTACTTAAAAACAATCTATATATGTGTGTGTGTGTGTTAAAAACAACATATATACATATATGTTGTTTTTAAGTGCCATCAAGTCAATTCTGTGTGTGTCTATGTATGTGTGGACTCCATACACATACACAGAGAGAGAGAGAATGGGTGTGAGTCCTGCTGTGGTGCTGTGGATTAATACGCTGAACTACAAAGTCAGTTTGAACTTCAATGTTGGTGGTTCAAGCTCACCAGCTACTCCTCGGAAACCCTTACAGAGATGCTTTGGGTTGGAGTTGACTAAGACGGCACTTAACAACAACATATATGTATGTGTGTATATATATATATATATATATAGAGAGAGAGAGAGAGAGAGAGCGTGTTCTGGTGTGGAGCTGGATGGCTAGTTTGGTTTGAACCACAAAGTCGGTGGTTCAAACTCACCAGCCACTCTTGGAACCCCTATACAGGGAACTGGCTCAAAGGCACTTAATAACAGCAACAACAACCTTTCTGTGAAGAATTCTGCACTCTTTGATTTGCACCATGTCAAAATGGCAGTTTAACTATTCTTGAGGGACTCAAATAAGGCTTCTTTTAAATACTGAGTTGGGTGAACAAAAAGAAGTGTGAAAAGACAAGATCAGGGCTGCAGGGTAGATGGGATAAGGTTTCTTAATGAAATTCTAGTACTGACAGTCCTTGTATGATGGAAAAATATTACTTGCAACTTCTTGACCTTTTTCTCACCAATGCAGTTTTCAATTTTCTTAAAATTTCTTCATAATAAACCCCCTTGATTGTCTTTTGTCCTTCAAGAAAATCTATCATGATTACCCCTGTAATATGGTCCTTCAAAAGAAAACAAAAAACAGTCACCATACCCTTCTAAACTGATTTCTCTGCATTAAGTTTAATTGGCCCTGCAGATCCCCTCAGAAGCCGCTGTTATAACTGGACTTTGTTTTTTTTTTAAGGCACCCTCATGAGAGCAAGAAAAGTGTATTACTGAGCAAATTTGTTTGTAGTCATCCACTAGTCACAAAGTCATGAAGACACGTTTAAACACATTTTTAAAAGATATCTGAGCACTGGAACCCAAGCAGCAGTACTTTTATTAACCTACTCTCCTGTGTATGTTTGTATCCATTATGATTAGTATCAAGAGCAATATGCAAACATGATTTCTGTTGCTCCTAAAAACCCCAATGAATAATCTCCTAAGGCAAGGATACTTTCCTATGCAACTACTACACAAACTTTCCAATATGACAATTAACATACGTCCTATATTCTCAGTAGGAAGAGTTAAGAATTCTATGTATGCCTATATGTTCACACACACATCTCCATCAAAAATCATGAAGCAGTTGATACTTAGAGCTCCAATTCTAATCTAAACTCTGAGTTTTTTCTTTCTTTTTTTTCTAACAGCAAGAAATCTGCTTCTCGTATTTCTCAATATATTTACTAATGTTGTCATTTGATCATTTCATACTTATTTGATCAATGTAATCACTACCAATAAACAGCATTCTTATCAATGGAGAAGAGATTGAAGTTGTCAAGGACTTCATTCTTCTTGGATCAACTATCAACACTTGTGGAAGCAGCAGTCAAGAGATCAGACGACATATTGCATTGGGCTAATCTGCTGCACAGGAACTTTTTAAAGTATTGAAGAGCAGAGATGTCAGCTTGAGGACTAAGGTGCGCCTGACCCAGGCCATGGTGTTTTCAATAGCCTCATATGGATGCAAAAGCTGGACAATGAATAAGGAAGATCGTAGAAGAATTGATGCCTTTGAGTTGTGGTGTTGGAGGAGAATACTGAAAGTGCCATGGACTGCCAAAAGAACCAAAAGATCTGTTTTGGAAGAAGTGCAACCAGAGTGCTCCTTGGAGGCCAAGATGGCTAAGCTTCGTCTCTCATACTTTGGACGTATTGTCCGGAGAGAACAGTCGCTGGAGAAGGATGTCATGCTGGGTAAGGTGGAGAGTCAGAGAAAAAGAGGAAGACCCCCAACGAGATGGATCAGCCAGGTGACATCATTGATGGCGTCAAGTGTGGAGGCGGTAGTTGGCCCAGGACCAGACATTGTTTCATTCTGCTGTGCATGGGGTCACTATGAGTCGGTTCTGACTCAATGGCACCCGACAACAACAATCACTACCCCAGTCACAGCAGCAATATCTTCCACTCACCCCCATTGCCTTACCACCCTTTAAACTGTTCACTCCTACTTGCTGCTCCCCTAGCACACAGTGCTCTTGGATCCAGTAAACACACTTAGCATTTCCTTCCACCTATCATTAATATGCTGCTGGCCTGCTGCCAACTACTCTTTTCCAGGATGAGAAGCAAAGATGGGAAGGAAAATGAAAGGTCTTTTCATCTTTTAGGTTATTAGGAAGCTATTCTTAGAATCTGCCTTCTGAAAAATTATATCTATCAATTCTATTTCTATTCTTTTTCTTAAATGTAGCACTGAAATGTCTGAGGATAGTTAGAATCTAACATAAATTCTCTTTCTTTAACCATACCTCTCCATTCCTTTACTGGTTCCTCTTGAGCATGGTTTCTAGAGCCTTGACTACTCCGGTGACATTGTCTATCAGTTGTTGATTAATTCTTCCAAGTATACTTTTCATTTTTATTTTTCAAATATGCTTGTCCTTGAGTGAGGAGAAAAAGGAATAAGCATCCAAGTCACAATTGCTGAATCACAATGATCTTAAGTGTTGATGGGATAGGAAGCTATCTTCTGAAAACTTTCCTTTCCACAAAACCAAAACTATTTGCCCCACCAATGTGGGAAATTCTATTGAATTTATAATAATAAGAGAATAAACACAAGAATCAGAGGCAAAATCCATGTAGTTTTTTAACTTTTTATCGTGAACTCAGTGAAGTTTTACAGATCATCTGCTTCAGATTCAACTAATCATACACTTCATTCCATTTCAATTCACTTCCTCCCTGAGGCTCTTCTTTCCATTCCTCCTTCTTTCCCAACCCTTCGGAATTTTATCCTTGGGTAAAAGCTGTCTGCCCTTTGGATCTTGAGTGGTTGACCATTCAATGGTGTGCATACCTCACCAGTGTTGCTGTACCTGTTACATGCCTACCTATTACCTGGCTGCAAATTTAGCCATGGGGTAAGCTCAATTCCAGACATGAAAGGTGATGAAGGCCATAGACTCAGGATTCCACCAGACTCTACCTAACCAGTAAACCTGGTCTTTTTTATGGAAAACTATAAGGTGGTTTTTTTTTTTTTGTTTTTTTTTGAGTAAAACAAGCTTTAATTACTGATTTTACAACTAAACACCTTTAAAATTCTAGAAAGTACAAATAAATGAAAATAGTTTTCATATTCAAGTTTGTAGACATTCACTGTCAGTATTTCTCATATCAAAACAAATTTCAGTACAGATTTGATGATGAAAATTGAAAAAAATAAAATGTTTTTCTATAGAAGTAGCCAGAAATACAAGTGGTTAGAATATTTTGTCTTGAATTAAAATTTTAAAATTTTCCAAACATTTGAGAACAGCTGGTTGATAAATTCCCTCTCTATAATTTGATCTTTTGTTTATCAAAAACATAGAGGAAGTGAAAGGTGATAGATAAAACAGCATAAAAATTGCCTGGAAACTAAACTTCCTAGAGTTCAAATATAAAGTAAAACGTAGAGGCAGAACTCTTGGTTCCTTTTTACAATTTACATACATGTTCTATGTGACAATTAAATACTTATGTTTCTTTCAATTATAAATGCTTCTTATTTCTTTTTATCTTCACTTCGCTACTTGTTTCCTGACATAGTTGCTTGGCTCTTTGTTCACGATCCAGAATTTCTTTGGGGAACAGGTTTTTCTCATCAAATACAGCTCTCAAATCTACAAAATGATGAAGAAAATGACATGTAAATTATATTTGATAAGAGACCCATTTAAGACAAATAATAGAGGAAAATTCTCAAGTTTTACTTTATCTTAAAATCTGTATGTTTCAACAAACAATTGTGTCTTTAAGGACATTTTCTCTAAGATCCTGCCAATCTTTTTACTTCAATGTAAATTTGCAAGTTAAATTTTAGTAGGATTTGTTTAATTAATTCATTTATATCAAGATAGAAAAACACCATTTGAAAATAGAAGACTGAAGAAGCTTGAGTTTTTCATTTTCATTTTTTAATCTACTTAACAGCTATCAAGAATTCATAGAAAACAAGAATAAATTATTCTGTATTGAAATAAGACAATTAAAATAATCAAAACACAGTTTGGTTCTCTGCGTGACTAAACAAGTGCGTCTGCAATCATATCCTCATAAGATACTTGATCTGCAGGGATCTGTGGATTAAAAAATGTAGTTTTTCAAAGAGCCAAATTATCCCCAAGGATAATTGTACATCCATGAGAAGTAAGAAGAAATTATGCCATACATTCAAGAAAATAATTGTGAGCTTTTGCTTAATTTTTCCATGTTAACAACTGTTTATTCAATGCATGTTATGTACAATGTTCTTTGTTCAGGACTAAATGAGACACACATATGACTAAGTTACAGGCTCTCATCCATCCAGTAGCCAGAGAGAACAGTAGCCAAATAACCAAAATCTCATATTAAGTAGGATACACTTCTAAGAGAATATGAACAAATGTAAATTATACATATAAACAAATAAATGTACAATATGCAGAGATCACAAGAAAAACTTAAAGAATTGGGGCTATTTGAAAAAGTTTTTGAATAGCTTTTCGAGAAAGTTTTTGAAATCCAGATAGGATTTCAATTGATATAGGAGCCTTGGATGTGGGGGAAGGTAGGTTGTTTTTGTTGTTAAGTACAGTGGAGTTGGTTCTGACTCATAGCAACCCTGTACAAGGTTTCCAAGGCTGTAAATCTTTACAGGAGCAGAAAGCCTCATCTTTCTCCTGTGGAACAGCTTGTAGTTTTGAACTGCCAACCTTGAGATTAGCAGCCCAATTCGTAACCACTATACTACCAGAGCTCAAGTCAAGTAAACAAAGTGAATAAAAGCAAGGAAAACCAAGAGCCACTATTCAGGCAACTCTGAATAAAACAATTTAATGGAAGCATAAAATATTTAAAGGCAAGTAAAGTGGAATGAGAAGTTGCAGGTAGACAAAGGAGGACCTTATATGCCAAGCCAAGGAATATGAAATAAAGAAAATTAAGTAAAAGCTGAGCAACTTTACACCTTTGTAAAATTTCATTAGGGGAAAAAAATTAACCTTCTACTTTCAGTACAATGTGCATAAGTCCACATCTTTCCCTTTTTTCTCATGAAAAAATATACAAAAGCCATCAGGAACATGTGGGAAAATAATTCCACAAACTAATTTCACTTTCAATAAATCACCAAGATAGATGTAATCAACAGCCTACAAAATATGAAGAAAAGCAGACAAACAGTTGAGATTGAGCAAAATTACAGACAAAAAAAAAAAAAAAAAATATACAAATAGAGTGGTGGAGTCCTGGTATGGTGCAATAATATCAGCACTGGACTGTTAACCACGAGGTTGCTGGTTCAAACCCATCAGTCACTCCTTTGTAATCCTATACAGGGTCACCAAGAGTCAGAACTGACTGGATGGTACTTAACAACATATAGAGTTGCAAGAAGTGCAGTAGCCTCTCAGAAGGTGCTAGCAAAAACAAAACAACAACAACAAAAAACACTTACTACTGAAGGTGAGGAGCTCACCCTGCAGTACAAGGCTGAAAACAGAAGCCTTCCTCTACCTGGCTGGGCTCAAAAAAACAGATGAGGCTGGGCTACATAAATTGTCATATAGATGAGTCAACTATGCAAAAAGCTGTCTGTCCCTGTTGGTTGCTAAATATTGAAGACCGCCCTGATTTACATCCCAAGCTCTCACCTAGAGACCTACTGCAATTTTCAGTCACAAGGAAAAAAAAAAAACAAAAAAAAAACACCACTGAATACTTTTCATCTTGTTTAGACGGGTCTGGTGAAAAAAGATGAGGATAAAATTCTTATGATTCAATAGTGAATACCTTATCATAACTAATTGCGACTGTCACAACTGTAAAGGTAGAAGTTTTGTAACAAAAAGGGAGAAGTAGTTAATCCAGGAACAGAGGACCCTAGGACCCTAGGACCATCAAGGGAGAAGAGTACAAGAGGAATGTGGGACCCTATCAAGAGAAGCAATGACACCAGAGAAGGAGTCAGAAATGAAGGCATGGAAAAATAGAGCAGCTGAGGACTCTAGACTCATGGAAAGAGAAAGGCTGTGTGCTGGTGGCCAGGTGCTGGCGGCCAGGAGACAGGCTGGCAGAATGTGCCCTTTGACTGTTTAAATGATCATATATTCCTGAGTATTTCTGTGTATGTCCCAAAACAAAAAACAGAGGGAATCGAAGCAAAAATACAGATGAATGATGATGCACAGAAGAGGTGGTAATCATTGTGATCATTGCAATGAAATGATGAGTGTAAAATTGATGTTCTCCTATGTAAACTATCACTCAATTCACAATAAAAACTTTAAAAAGAAAAAACAACAACAACATATTAATAGTAATTAACTAAAATGAAGAAACAATGGAACTTGTACAGCATGGACTCAAAAGACATTATAAGACCCAAATTTAAAAATTAAACAATGGAAAAAATCAACAGAATGAAATAATAGATGGACCATGACCAGAAAAAAAAAAGTTGCAATTGGCAGATAAATACTGTTACAAATAATCATTACTGAAATTTACAATATGAAAAACAGAAATAACCTCTATAACAGCAAATTACAAAACAGAAATAAAGAACTCAGGAATGAAACCACACAATAAGAGGTGATGAAATCTGAGCAGGCAGAACTCATAAGAGCATTTTAAAGGTACCACAAAAGAAACTAGACTGTATGGCATAGACCATTTAAAATCAGACAATCATAAGGTTTACTATGACTGGAACATAAATTGAAGAGGAATGGCATTACACTCAATGTCAAAAAGAACATTTCAGGATCTATTCTGAAGTATAGTGCTATTTGTAATAGGATAATTGTCGTATGCCTACCAGAAATACCAATGAATACCATTATTACTCAAAATTTATGTACCAACCACTAAAGCCAGTGATGATGAAATTGAAGAATTCTATCAACTTCTTCAATTTGAAATTGATGAAACATGCAATTAAGATGCATTGATAATTATTGGTGAATGGGATGTGAAGGTTGAAAGGAAAGACGAAGGATCAGTAATTGGAAAATACAGCCATGGTGATAGAAATTATGCTGGAGATTGCATGATAGAATTTTGCAAGACCAATGACTTATCATTTTTTAAACAACATAAAAGCCAATTGACTATATCATTGCTGACATCAGATAGATTTTGACTGAGAGCAGAGAATATCAGAAAGATATTTGCTTGTGCTTTATTCTCTATGCACAGCCTTCCAACTGTGTGGATCATGACAAACTATGGATACCATTGCAAAGAATGAGTTTTCCAGAACACTTAATTGTGCTCATGAGGAACCTGTAAATAGATCAAGAGGCAGCTGTTTGAAAAGAACAAGTGGATACTTGTTGTTGTTGTTGTTGTTGTTAAGTGCCATCGAGTCGGGTCCGACCCATAGCGACCCTGTACAGGGTTTCCGAGGGTGTAAATCTTTACGGGAGTAGAAAGCCTCATCTTTCTCCCGCGGAGCGACTGGTAGTTTCAAACCGCTGACCTTAAGGTTCGCAGCCCAATTCGTAACCACTACGCTACCAGAGCTACCAGATTAGAGGGGAAAAAATGCTTTCTTATTAAAAGAAAAAATAGAGTGAAAAAAAGTCTTATTAAAACATGGAAAATTGTATTTATAGAATGCATTAAATTGCAGATGACTTTGTTGATTTGTTCGCTATAGGGTTTTCTGAATATTTTCTGTATTTGGGAAAACATAGTATTCAGTTCCTCTCCTATTTTAAATTCAAAAAGAAGTAATAAATTAGTTTTAAATTATTTTTAATGATGACTTCAAGCATACACATATAACTGTGATGTTTCCAAAAAGAACTGTTAGACATATAATAATAATTTCAAATATCATAAAATAACAAAATGAAGTAACCAAATGTGACTTTGAGTAATTCACTACAAGAACTGAAAGCAAAAAAATGTTATATTTTTCTGACTGTGCCATAATCAGACATGATTAAAATGTATATTTGATCAGATTGATGAATTCTAGATAATTATACATGCTGATATTTTTCCTTTACAGTCAGTAACTAAAAGGCATTAGTCCACCCCTTTTCATTTCAGAATGTATCATTTTACTAGGATTTATTTACATTAACATGAAAGGATCTATTAACCTGATGAGATGACCTGTAAAATGTGCTAAAATCAGAAAAGGTGTTGGCCAGGGTTCTATCATTTAACCATACATAGTCAATATATAAGCTGAGCAAATAATCTGAGAAACTGTATTATATTTAGAAGAACACGGCATCAGAATTAGAGGAAGACTCATTAATAACCTGTGATATACAGATGATAAAAATCTTGCTTACTGGAAGCCAAAAGGACTTAAAACCTTAACTAATGGAGATCAGAGACTACAGTCTTTAGTATGGAATGCATCTCAATGGAAAGGGGGAAAAAAGTCCTCAAAACTGGACCAATAAATGTCACCATGATAAATGGAGAAAGACTGATTTTGTCAAAGACTTCCTTTTTCTTGGATCCACAAGCAAAATTCATGAAAATAGCAGTCAAGAAATTAAAAGATGTGTTGTATTAGACAATTCTGTTTTAAAAGACCTCTTTAAAACATTTAACAACAAAGACACCAGGCTGATGACTAGACAGTGTTGCTATGAATCAGAATCAATTCGACAAA